CCCTTTTGCATCCGAAGTAGTCACCACTGACTTCAACTTGTGATGCTTGTTCCCATCCTTGTGTCCACAGTGATCATCACGACAATTCTCGACAGAAAGACTCCGTGAATGCTTGTGAGACTTGTGCTTGTCATTGTCAAGTCGACGAGCCACATCAAAGAGCTCTTCCAAACTCTTTGTATGATGAGAATGACGCAAGTGTTGCCGCATGCTCTCATTATGTAAGCCATCAATGAAGTAGGACTTGTTCTGATCTGGATCCTTCGTTGGAACATGACTAATCAAGCGAGTAAGTTTTTCAATATAGTCCCCGAGTGTCATTTTCCCTTGCTGAAAATGTTAAAATTCTGTACAAGCATTCTCCACATCATAATGAGGGGCAAAACGTAAACGGAAAGTAGCCTCAAATTCATCCATGGTAGACACTAGTGGTTTCTTATTCGCAACATGAGACTCCTCAAGCCAATTCCACTATCGAAGACCCGCATCACGCAAAACCATCAGAATAGCCATTAAAGCCTTTGCATCTGGAGTTCCCTTAGCAGCCAAGAACTTCTTCACATTGGCTAGCCAAGTGAGACACTCATCCACACCACCATCACCGGAAAAAATTAGAATTTTGAGTCGATCTACCAAAGAAGGCTTACTTGGAGTGCTACCCTGTCCAACCTCGAGTGCCTCAACACGCCCACACATGATATCTATCATGCCATGCATCTCGTCTTGCATCTCTTACTGATTTCGATTAAAGGCTCGCAGCTCATGAATCACATTTTGAATGGTCCAAATCTCTATAACTTTGTCGGCACTATTGTCGGCACCACTATTGACAATAGGATTCTAGCATTCAGTTTGGTCGGCCATCGCAACCAACTACTTTGATATCAATGTTATGATCCGGCACAAAAAAACAGAGATTTAATTGCCCTAGATTATGTTATACCACCTCTTGAGGTTCCTCACCACCCAACCACCCCGAGCTACCTCAAAAGCTCTACTGCACCACTGCTCCACTGTGAGCCCTAAAGTAGGTTAAATCCCTTACCCTAACATGCTTTAATATACCCTTGAGCCTCCCTTTGACTGACGTTGACCACGTGGCAAAGCTGGCACCTAACATCACCTCTGAATCACCCTTGTATCCTCCTCACAGCTTGTTCAACGTCTCTAGCAAGCTCTTGTTAGCTCAAAGGGCAGTGACATGCCAGAACCTCTTCCCTCCTCATCTGACACATGCTCTTGAGCTTGACTTCCTCGTAATGAAATATGTCCAAAAACACCATCACCCCTTGCAATGTCCTCGATCTGCCCATTCCAATCCAGAGGTGTAAGCACCTGGATCACACCATCCTTCCATCCCTATTACCTTTCTAATAATGACAGTGCAATGGCTCAGATGGATCCGACAACCGACAGTGACGATTAACTACTCACCGTTTCAAACATGCATGAATCGGTCCTGGCCAGGAAAGAAAAACTCTGGAGAAAGTACAACATTTGTCGTAGCTGTGCACCATTAATCGTGGTACACTGGACATAAGTGTAGTTGCAAGTGTAGACAAGGATCGGCCTTGAAGCCATTCTAGGAGTGGTACAAGTCAACATCTGTCATAGACGATCTTAGTGTTTTGTTGTTGCACCTCTGCATTGTGACACTGGTGAATGAGCTCTTTCCCCAAGAACTTTGACCAGATTTCCCTTTAAAAAGAAGTCCATAGCCTTTGCAGTGCTGCTTTCCTTGTGCAGATCTAGTTTCTTCTGGACTAGGTTGGTTTTTTCAGGGACATGGAATTGCAGTCATTTCATAAAGGTTGGTTGCCTCTTGCCTTCCCAGCTAAACACAACAAGAGAGTAATTAGTGGGCTATTTGTGCCATTGTATAATCTATGTTGATATCTTGTCATCACATATTTGTTTTGTGATCTTAAAGCAGCTCTGACAGCCAAGCCTGGGAGAAATTTAGTACTACCAGAAGACACCATTCATGATTCTTCACAAATTTCTTTTAAATACTGCACAACTCTTGATAGCGTCTCAAGAGACAACTATATATGAGATCAGAGGTAGAGGCCATTAGTTGCCTTCTCCACGCCCAAGACGAGCGTACTATCAGCCCAAACAGTCAGCTGCAGATGGTACTTGAAAAGATAAGTTTTCAACAGATAATCAGGGTCCAAGAGTTATGATTTAATTCAAGACACCATTCATGAAATTTCTTTTAAATACTGCACAACTCTTGATAGAGTCTCAAGAGACAACTATACATGAGATCAGAGGTACAGACCATTAGTTGCCTTCTCCACGCCCAAGACGAGCGTACTATCAGCCCAAACAGTCAGCTGCAGATGGTACTTGAAAAGATAAGTTTTCAACAGATAATCAGGGTCCAAGAGTTATGATTTAATTCAAGACACCATTCATGATTCTTCAACGAATTTCTTTTAAATACTGCGTCTCAAGAGACAACTATATATGAGATCAGAGGTAGAGGCCGCTATACCTATTGGAAGCTACCTCTCAAGATTATTCTTCACAAAATTCTTTTTTTTATATACTCAATTTACTAAAACATTAATAATAGAGAATTGAAAGAGAATGTTTAGTCAACGATTAAAGAATATCCTAGAATATATATAGAATTTTTAAGAATTTTCATTTGGCGTAGAAAAAGATCTTCTAAGCTTTGTTTTTCCGTTGCGAAAGAAAATGCCGGTGGAGAGGAGGACGAGCATCGGGTCTTGTTCATCCACGGGATCGAATGCCCTGGCTGTTCGGCGAGATCGGCGCAGGAGGCAGCCAAGCTGGATGAAGTTCTTTGGGCCGGAGCACCTCCAAGAACGCGATTGCTGGTTCGCTGTGCACAAGATCAACAGCGGCGGGCTGGATTCGCTGGTTGTTCACAACGCCGTTTCCAAGGCCTGCTTCAAGATACCCCTGTGTGGCTCTTTAGGTCGTCTCGGTGGAAGTGGAAGCGATCACACCTTCACCAGTGCCAACAGTGGCCTTGTTTGTACCTTCAGAGGACAGAGGTACTTGAACAATTGTCTTTCTGTGATATTATTGTGTAGTTCTCGTCCACTCTGTTCCTTCTCACGGATGATTTCTTCAGGTTTAGTCAGAAGCCAGCCTTGATGCACGTCTTCAATCCTTTCAAATCGGAGGCGTTCCAAGTGACTATCCCACCCAAGACCGTCATCTACACCGCAGCTATTGTTCCCAAGGCAAGCAGCTCAAAAGAGTTCAGGGTGGTAGCAATGGCCGAATTCGGTGAAGTCACAGGTGTTTATATATACGAAAGCGGGACGAAGGTATGGCGGAGGTCCTGGGAGTTGGAGTCGCTGCAGTACCTTGAGTTTTATCCGTGCAATGTCATGGTTGGCAACAGGTTCTGCTTCTTGGCGAAGAGTGGCAGAGACGGGTATCTGAGGGTCATGTTCTACGACATGGAAGCTGAAGCCTTGACAGATTCACAGCCTGGATTTCTTTGGTGCGGATGGTGTGGAAGAGTACGCGGAAAGCATTCGCATTGTGGAGCCCAATCTGTTCCTGTGCAAAGGCAAGCTGACTGTGGTGGATACCGTTGTGACTGGCTCACCGTCTTCTGGTCGCGACGAGGATGAAGATGAAGAATACTACCCAGACGTGGATGATTACTCGGAAGTGATTATATGGCAAATGGATGAACAGGCTTACAAGTGGGAGACAGTTGCAAAGATGCCAGATGATTTGTGGCGCAAGCTTCACGTCGGCTGTGACATGTATTCCAAGCTCAAAGTTTGTGGAGCCGGCAAGTTTGTTTTCATGCAGTTTGTGCACTGGACTCCTTGGGAACATCGTGCGGCCGATGAAGACGCTGTAATTTGCAACCTGGACACTGGTGTTTGGGAAGAACTCCCTCCAAAACCACCCACAATCATGTTCAGCCGGTGCCTGGATGTTCTTATTCTGGATCCAGACCAGTCCTTTGCTCTTTGAGTTACGTCAACGCTTTAGTTTGCTTATTATGAGGTTTGCTAGTGACCATGCACAGTAGGAGAAGAAGTAGGAGGCAGAATCTGAATTCGATGAGGTTTAATCCATCGTTTTGCTAGGCACAATCACTGTACACATGCAACTCCGAGAATCATGCACAGTGACAGGTGCTTGCGGTTGCTGAATCGGCCTGCTAGAGAGCCATGCACAGGCAATTCGTGATTGAAATCGCATCCAGATGTAGACAAAAGGCGAATGCTATCATTCAACTTGATACGGGTTTCACTGCATATAAGACTGAATTCAAGTTCGGGGCTTTTCTGTGGTTAGGAGAGTACATATAGTTTTCTTTTACCTCGAGCTACTTTAAAGTGTAGTTTTTCTGTGCTCGATAAGCTTGTCCACATGACATTACAACCCATACTCGATGTCTTTGTTCTTGAAGTATTCTAGCATTTATCAATGGAAGAATTTGAATTAATAAGTGCAGACATTTCTGAATGCTAGTAGTCATTATATTCCCACTTCAACATAATATGCCATGAATAAACCAAACTTCCACACCTTGGAAATGTATCCAGTTACAGAGCCTCGACCCAGCTTGCAAGTGGACATCCATAGCAGCTTCCTCCAAGTCAGTCCCCTCCTCTTTAGCTGCAAGAGAAATACGCTTTGAGCGCTCCGACAAACGGTGAAGAGTTTGGAGCACGCTGCTTGTATTTCCGCTACTAACTCCAAAGCCGTATCACCCTTGCTGTTCCCTGCATCATCCTGTGAGCACTGCGAGTGAATATTGGCCATTCCCTTCTCTATCCGTGGATTTCCTTCTTTTCTTCGTCGGCTGAAGGTGGTGCGAGCTTTCAGAGCAGGAGCAAAGTCGAGGCATTTGGTTGGCAGCCGTCCTCACTGATCCATTCGAACATCTCCAAAGCCAGCTCTGCTTTGCAAACGTGTTCTCGACATATCGCAGCTCCAGAACACAAGGCTGTGAAAGCACATCCTGTCGAAAGTCCACTTTGCTGGGTATGTAAGTGTGGAAGTTCCGAAGGATGATTATCTCCAAATGTTTTTAACTAAACAGGAAGTCTAGATTCTACATACCGCGGAAGACCAAGTGGATCTCGTCAGGCTCGTTTCTTAATGCTCCTCCGAGCTCTCAGGACCTTGTCTCGCATTTTCTTGAGCTCCTTTGCGCTTGGAGAATAGAGATCCAAGGTTGTAGAATCTGCAAAGTACGAGATAAAGCCAAGAAGGAAAAAAAAGGCAACAAAGAGTTCGCGTTTTACCTTCGGATCGTTGCTCCTCCTCTCTTGCTGCTTTCCTCCTGCTGATCTCCACACTGCATGCGCTCTTATCTCTCGGATCCTTGCATTGGCTAACAGTTTCTTCGTCCGACTCCAAGAGCGCTTGCTTGAGTTCCTCTCGGAGTGCCGTTTTAAGATCCCCGGACAGCTTTGCGGGCACAGCTTGGATCTGATCGAGCACTCGTTTGATGGTGCCTTCCTCCTCCTTCAACTTCCATTCACAAGAAAAGCAAAAAAAACATTAGAACTGGAATAGAAAGAAAGAACTCACCATGAATGAAACCTTGCGATTCTGGTCGTCCAGAGAGTTCCGCATGGAACTGATGCTCTCCGCAACCCCGGCCACGAGATTTTCCAGAGCAGCCAACCGCTGCTCGATCGCTTCGTCCGATCGAATTGAGACTGGCAAAGGGACCAAATCCGTGGCCGTGACCTGCGATTCTCGCCTGGATTGCGAGAAGCCCTGGGAAGAGAAGGATTCCTGCTGGCTCTGCGACGGCTGCGATGCGTAGCAATGCGGCGGCGGCGGCGGCAGCGGCCGGGAGCGCGAGAAATCCAGCCGCCTGTGATCGCCGCCGCGGGGGATCTGGCGCTCAAACCTGTCGTATGATGCGCAGAGGGACGCGAGCTCGCCGGCGCTCGGCTTGTTCATCCCAAACCTCCTCATCACAGGACTAGCTAGGGTTTTGTGCCACGGCGGGAAATTTAAATTTCCAACGAGCTCTATCTCAGTGCATTAGAACTTCCTCGTAAAACTTTGTCAATTCCTTTCCTTGCAAGCCATTCCAAAAATCGCGAGCCTTCATCACTTTTCTTCCTGGTGGCTGGACCTCCAAAATCTGGAAGAACGAAGAATCACACACGCGAAACAAAGAGAGGAAAGATCGAGCGCTACCTCCAGCCAAGAGTGGTCACCGCATTCCACAAGCATCGATCCAGCGTTGAGTAGAATGGAGCGAGTCGATGGAAATCCTGACTGGCAAACTCTGGTTGTCACGATCTTCATCTCCAGGATCTCGCGATCGTTGCTGCTCGAGAGATGGAACTTTGCCTTGGTCCCAGGCCATTCGGAAAAAGCTCGCACCTGGAAAAATCGATGCAGTGTCTGGATATATTTCTTCCTAAGGCTTTGGGTACCTTGTTGTGGATTATAGCCGCAGGCTCCTCGAATGAAAGCCACGCTCCCTCTACACCAATCTAAAGAAAAAGGAAGAGTTGATGGAATAGCAAAAGAATTTGACAAACCAACCTTGGGAGCGTGAGTGGCGCGAGAGTGATCTTGCTCCGTAGCCCGACTTCGTCCCGTTCCATCCAGTAGATGTGGCATTTCTCTCAGCAGCAAACACGTCCCTAGCGCAGAGCAAAAGAAGAAATAAGAACTCTTGTCCTTGTGCAAAGAAACTCAAGAAAACTTCGTACATTTTCACAAAGCTCTACCTTTAGAGAAGAGAAGATCTTGTAGCTCAGGTGCCTGCGAGAAAGAAAGAGAGAAGCAATCTAGAAAAAGAATATGAACACCTTGCGTGCAAGCTTTACCTTAATGTTTTCGTCCACTTCAACGCTTTCAGAGGCTACAACAGGGCCAGAGTCGAGAGCTCGGACTGTGTAAGCGACACTCACGCCAGTAACCTTCACTCCATCCTACGAAAAGAAGAAAATACTGAGTACTCAAGAGACAGCTTAATCCACGAAGAGCTCCTCACCTGAATGGCTCGCTGCACTGGAGCGGCACCTCGATACAGCGGCAGCAAGCTCGGATGAACATTAACAGTACCTTTGAAAAGAGAAAAAAAGAAAAGAAAGAAGAACTAAGTTGGACACAGATGAAAAGTTTAAGAGATATGATGCAAACCAAGCTTTGGAATGTCAAGGAACTTCTGAGAGAGAATGTTGCCGTAAGCCGCAGTCACGCAGAGATCCGGCTCCAAACTCTTCAGTTCTTCCAAAAAACATTGCTACAAAAGCCCAGAAGTCATTCGTTTTCATTCCATTTTCAAGCTCTCACCTCACTGGCTTTCTCTGGCGAAAAGATCAAGTGTGGAGGGAATTGCCGGTCGAGAGCTCTTTGGGCGACTAGAGATGGCATTTGCTTCTTGCCTCGACCTCTGGCTGCTGGCGGCTGCGTGACGATCCCAGCAATCTGGATCGATCATCTATAAGTAACACAAACTTTTCTCTAGAGTTTTCTCTAGCAATGCATGCAAATTCTAAGCTACGCACCTCGAATTTGGAGTCTTTAGCCGCTGCGGCGTCTAGCAAAGAATCGAGGACCTTTGCAGCGGGCTGGAAAGGGCAAAATAAATTCGAAAGAGGAAAGAAACGAACAAAGAATCGTTACACACCTCCGGTGTTCCAAGAAAAACAAGGCGAGATTTGCGCCCACATTCCTGGTGAAGAGATCGCACGACCAGATCGTGGCGCTTGAGAGCTTGAGGAGATTGCGCTAGAAGCCATGGCCGCAAGCCAAGCATGCTTCCCAAAAACCTAAATTTCTCTTTTGTGACCTAGTCTACTTTGATTGACCAATTGACCGTTGAAACTTTGGTACCGACGTGGCTTAGTCTGGATCGCACACGTGGAAATGGCCAGTAACTGAAAGACTCGATGCCACACGTTCTTCGTCTTCTCTCTTGGGTTTCTTTTTCTTTCCTTCTTCGCAGAAGAAATGCCCACTGCACGATCTTCCTCCCATGGCGCCGTCCAATTGGCAATGCCCAATGTGGTGGACATCTCGCCCTTCCGGAGCTTCCACTCGGCGGCGCAGCAATCCATTCCCTCCATCTCCGGGGGAAATTCGCGATCGCTGGGCCACAATCCAGGGCCCAATTGCTTCGCCCCACAGGTGCTCCAGGCTGGAGATCCACTGCTGAGCAAGCGCGCCGTGGAGGTCGCCCTGGATGCCATTGGGAGCTGCGCGATCGAGAAAGTGATCAATGATTTGGTCGCGGCGATGAGGAATTTGGGAGCGTCGGCCCTGTCAGCTCCTCAAATCGGTCACGCGCTCCAGGTAACGAAAAATCCGCGTTTTGGGGCAAATTGGGATCACTACTATCGTGTTCGTCTAGATCATTGTTCTTGAGGATCCAACCATCCAACAGCCTTCCAAGCTCATGGTTCGTGAAAAACTCCTCTCTCCTTCTCTCGCTCGCATTAAAATCCCATCTTCTTGATTCCTCGCAGGTGATTATAAATCCAAAGCTCGTAGTGATCCATCCGGAGGAAACCGAGACGTCGCTGGAAGAGTGTCCAAGGTGAGTGAAACAACAAACTCAGAGAAGAAAAAAAACCAATTTTTCTTGTCCTCTTTGCAGCGTCTGTGGCTACTGTGCTCTCGTCGAAAGATTCTCGAGAGTGAAAGCTACCGGATTGAACAGGAGGGGCGAGAAGATCCAGATTGACGCCAAAGGCTGGCTGGCTCGGGCACTTCAGCACGAAAGCGATCACTTGGAAGGCATTCTCTTCGTCGATAAGATGGTACCAAAATCCTTCCGGAGTATCTCCTAAAGGGAGCGCATGACACATTCCTGTAAATTGATTTGTAAATACTGTGTGATATGATTGTGTGAAATAAAGAAAAGCTCGTCAATACCTGACCATTGCAAAGGTCTTATTTTTCGGGGATCTTCTTCGTTCCTCAAGCGACGTTCACTTCTCTGACTGGAGCGTCGACGCCACAGATCTGACGGACTTTGGAGATGATTTTGGCGGCCAGCTGGGGTTTGTAGCCAGTTCCACACGCAGCCAGGTGCTTGGGAGCTAGTGCACGATCGAAGTAGAATTCGCCCGACTTTAGTTTGCTGTTTGGCTGGAGCGACAGCCACACTATTGTGTCAGCGCCTTGGTCGATAGTTCTGAGCTTGCCTTGGAATCTGCGGGATGGAGTCAGCTAAAGTTCGTCTTTTGATCGAGGAGCTTACTTCTCTCTAAATGACGAGAGGCTCTTTGCAACCCCTTCTGTGTCGACCCAGCCAGGATGCATCGTATAAAAGCCGACACCTTTGGATCCATACAACTTTGCCCAGTTTTCGGTCATGGCAATCTGAAAATCACGAAAGTAGTTTAGGCTTCCCAGAAAAACTCATGACTACCTGGAGTCTCTTGTTACGCGAATACTGGACAAGACCATTGAACTTGTCATCTGAATACTGGGGAAGAACAACACACAAAGACGATCAAGGCTTATAAAAAAGAGATAGGCTGAGCTGAATACCTGTAAATCTTCGGTGAGTGAACTTCCATACATGCCTCCAGACGATACAGTGACCACTCGCGACTCTGGAGCTGCTTTCTCAAGCGCAGGCATGAGAAGTTCCGTGAGAGTATACGAAGCAGCTATATTCACTGCGAAGTTCAACTCCAACCTGTAACACCAGTAGCAAGAATCGTCATCTAATCCAGCAAATGCAAATAAAAGACCAAAGAAGAATCACTCACCCGTCTGCTGTAGTCTTGCGTTCGTGTTCCATCAGCCCCGCATTGTTCACCTGTAAAGCCAAAGTCACAACATTGTTTCTCACACAAAAAATCGCGTGTACCAAAACATAGAGCGCCTTGTCCATGCTGAGAAATCTCGTGGCCAGCTCCTTGACTTCTTTCAGTGAAGATAAATCACAAAGCTGGAGAGACCAGGAAATTGTTCTCCTTCATCGTAAAACAAAGAAAGAAACAACTCACCTCCAGCTCAACTTTGTCATTCCCAGTCTTTGACTTGATCTCCGAGACAGCTTTCTCGCCTTTCTCTTTGTTGCGACACACTAGAAAGACGTTCGCACCCCTGAAACACAGAAGAGAAAGAGTTCCTCGTTTCCTTGCTAGTAAGAGATCCAACGAATGCTTCAAACCTGGCAGCCAGAGCTTCCGCCGATGCAAATCCAATTCCTGTATTGGCCCCGGTGACCACACAGTTCTTCCCAGCCATATCCACATCCAAGTCCTCTTTCTTAAAGCCGGCAGCATGCTTCCTGCAAGAAATCACGATCAATCACGATGGAAGACACCGAAGTATCACACAAGGAACTCACAGGAAGGCCGACCGAGTGAAGTAGAGCGTCCCATAGAGCGAGAATGCGGTCGTTCTGTAGGCCTGGAATCACAGATCAGAAAAATCGATTGCGCAGCGCCGGTGGAGCTAGCTTACCTCGACGATCCACATGATGATCTAGCGCCTGCGAGGAAGGAGTGGCTGCACTGATTTGTGGCAAGAGCCTCTTGACACGCCATTGCCACGCCATTCCTTTCCCTCTCATTAGATTAGGGCAAAGTGGTCAAACTGAAAGTTTACTTTTATGGCCATGCATGGAAAAATTCAATGCTAGCTTTGTTCTAAAATGCTATGCCATGACTTTCAAGAGCCCTCTGAAATGGGGTCGCACAAGCTCTCCAAAGCTATGGTGGCCAATTCTGACCCTTAAGCCTTCGCGAATTCCTCGACCAAGCGATCATTCTCGATCTATAGCTATGATCTCACAACCAGAACTGGGCAGATTGGGTTATCAAGTTTTGCAAAGTATTTGGTGACGGTGCTCAGTGCAAGAAAGGGGACGCTCTTGAGTTTCTCGTCACACACAAGGGTTTCACTCTAGACTGAATTTATCTTAGCATGGTTCCACTTTGTTGGAAGTCTGGGGACTGCGGTCTTACATTCAGCAAGTATGTTCTCTTGAAAACAGGAAGTTGAAAGTCTTGGCTTTGTAGCCACAAGACTTGGAGGAGAATTCCATGCATCGCCACCTTGTTGGGCTCTTACCAGTTACTATAGAAAAACTTGGAGGCCTTGTTTGTGTAGAGAACTTCGGCTTCTTGAGTACACTTCAGTCGGCACCAAGCACGGGCCATTTCGCAAACTTGAGAAGTCACCTTGGAGTTTATCTTATGTGTTGACATGAAATTAATATAGTTCATGCCTTCCCCATTATCTCTTCTGTTAGCCGAGCCAACAGTGGAGATGCTCAAAGACTGTGGAATCATTGCATTGCAAGAAACGAAATCCTCTTAGAATCAAGTGAAAACCGGAGAGATATATACAGTCATGCCCAGTTTTCACATTCCAACCCAAGCTCTAACGTTGTATTGAAAAACAAGAAAAGCCAAACTCGTGTTTCGTTAGAAGCCAGCTAAAACTCGCAAAATGAGAAATCTCGGAAGTAAAGGAAGAAAGAGAGAAACTGCAAACCCGGAAGAAGCTCTCTCAGCAGTAGTACATGTAGTTCCGGACTTCAGGAAGTACCTCAGGCAGCCTACACTCCGCGGCCGCAGCGCGAGCAGAAGAAGATCCAGCTCCAGCGGCAACACTGTCGACGTGGAGCCGAGACCGGTAGGCCACCAGGTGAGCGTAGTACGCCGGAGGTATCACCGAGACCGCCTTGGTACACCGGGCATAAGTGTAGCATAAGCTGTTGACGAGCGTCTGGAGCTGGTCGGCCCTGAAGCCATTCTGGTCGAGCAGGACGTGGTAGTGCGTCGGCCGGCTGGTTCCCTGGAGACCCCTGTGGCTGCAAAGGTAAAAGTCGAACTCTCGAGGATGGGTGATCTCTGTGTCCACAACGGTCCCCGGTCTCACGTTGTTGCTCACCACGTTATTGTCCGCCGGGAAGAACCTCGTGTGGTGACGCTTCTGGACGACCACGAAAGTTATCTGGGGACAGTAGTCGCCATTCGGCTGGAGGGTAAGGAACGCCCTCTGGATTGCCTGCACTTCGTTGTTCAGGACGTCGGAGAACTGGCCCTCGCTCACACCATCCCGGAAGAAGAGGAGCCTCTCCGGTTTGAGTCTGGTGTGAGTGAAAAACGCCCTCATGAGGTCGACCACCATGTCATGCAGGTGCTCGATCATCTCCACCCTGCCCCTCTGAGATCTTGCCCGAGCGAGATACTTGACCGCCGATGGCCAGTCCATGCTCGCCACCACCGCGGAGATGGAGGGACTCGTGTCGTCGCGAGCCATGGGATGAGAGACATCAGCTCCAAAGATGATTGTTGGCTTGCCGAGAATCGATGGAACCATGAGTCGCAGATCCTGCGCCAGATCCATGTTCTGGCCTCCAACTTTGACGTTGATCTTCATCGCGAGGTTGGCCAGGTACTGTGACAAACTGTTGTACTCCTTCATCACATTTTTCTTAAGGCACACCTGCGTCACTAGCCCGAGCTCCGTCTCGCACAGCTTCTTCAGGTCCCCGTAAATCTGGTGCTTGGCGTCCATGAGACAAACTACCAGCTGAAGACCTTCCCCGGGCTTGCTTTTGCTAGCGTGATTCCTGACGGCATTCCGGAGTAGCGTATCATACTGTTCCAGCCGACCGCTGGAAGGAGGGATCACGGGAGGATCCATCTGAACTCCAACCGCCACGCACCGTTGGATCAACTCACTGATGAAAGCGTCCACGTCCTCTCTTGCTAATCTCGTGAAGTTGACGAGAGTCCAGCGGCGGATTACTCCCCCTCGAAGAAACCTAGACCGCATCATGTTCCAGCCGCCATCAGATGGCGTGATCTGGTTGCTGCTATACCTCAGACTCGGAGTTGGAAGAACCCTTGCGTGCAAAGACGTCATCGACTTAGCCACCTGAATTCCAAACTCGGCAGCATAATCATTCCTGGAAGCAAAAAAGACAAGCGTGTCAAGAACAAGAGCGCAGAACTTCATATGAAAGAAAACTTACTGCTGAAAGTCGTGAACGTTGCTCATAAGAGTCTTTATGTTCTGCTCTCGAACAGCAGGAATCTGACACGTGAACCTCAGCATGTTTGTTGTCTGCCTCTCGTTGAGCTTTCCCTGATATTTCTGACCGGCAGCCAGCTTGCACACTTCCATAGGCAGATAAGTAGTTTTCCTTCCTTGCAACTCGAGGCAAGGCAACTCGGGATACTGGATCTTATGCTTGTACGTCGTCCAAAAGTAGTCCACAACCTTCACCTCCTGTCCAGAATCAGTTGTGAACGTCAACGCCTTTGTTGGCCGCAAAGACAGTCCCGAAATCCTGTATCTCCGAGGGATGTTCCTGTGCGTGACTTCGACCTTGAGCCGGTTCAAGAGATTTTTGGCCTTGGCTCGATCACCGTCCGACAAGCCTCGGCTTGGGTCGAAGTACGGGAGTGACTTCTTGAGGAACTCGAGAACTGGCAATGCCTCGTAAAATGCTGCTGCAGACAAATCGACGTTCAGCACGAGGCCTTGCATGGTTGGACGAACACTCTGGTAGAATCCTTTCCAGGCCTCAAAACCACCTTCTAGTGCCAGCCTCCCGAATGACGGATCGAAGAAGTTACGTCCACTGGGAACGTACGACTTCATGGGCCACTCTCTCAAAGCCACGTCCAAAGCTTGCAAGAACTCATACGGGGCTTGTAGGACCGCACCTCTGCCTTCGAGGAAGAGGTCCATTTGATACGGGTCCAGCTCCGCGGCAAACTTGATCGTGACTTTGAACTCGCGGGCCCTGCGCCCTTCTTCCTCCGGCAGCGTAACTTTGAAGTCCTTCTGCTCAAACGGAAGTCGCCTCGCCGTGTACAAGCTCTTGCTTCCATCGTAGACGGGAAGAAGGTTGTTTAGCTCTGAAGCCCGATACTGTGACACGAGCTGCCGCTCCAGAGCACGAGCAATCCCTTTCGAGCCAACAGCCGGATGAATGGATACGTCGTAGTGAAAGATGGGTGCATCTTTCACCTTCATCTTGAAGTGGTTCACTCTGATGGTAACCTTCTGACCAACAGTTCCTCGATCAGGCCTTTTAGGAGGTACAAGTGCTTTCGAGGAGGTAGGAACATCACCAGTGCTGCTGCTAGAAACGGGAGCACTCGGGCCAGCAGGAGTTCCCTTCACGTCCAAATCTTTTACTCGAGGAACCAGCGAGTCGGCACTAGCGCTCTGGCCTACAACAAAAGCAAACAAAAGATCACAACTTTGGCATGCCCGAGGGACGAAAATTTACGTACCAGATCCTCCAGGGACAGAGCTCTCGATGGTTTGAGGCCTAGGAGCAGTCGAAGAAGATGCTCCTCCTACAGCAAGAAATTCAAGGAGTAAAGCTCCAGAAGAACAAAGAAAGAGATGCGTACCATGTCCTCCCTGCGATCCAGCAGCGCTCTGGTTGTAAGCCACTCCTACAACAAAAGCAAACAAAAGATCACAACTTTGGTATGCCCGAGGTACAAAAACCATACCAGATTCTCCAGGGACACGCTGAGACCCAGAACTATCGATGGTTTGAGGCCTAGGAACGTACTGAGCAGCCCCGGAAGATCCTCCTCCTACACAGCAAGAAACTCAAGTAGTAAAGCTCCAGAAGAACAAAGAAAAAGAGCGTACCATATCCTCGTTGGGATCCAGCAGCGCTTACGATGGTACGCGGCCGCTGCGAGGTCTCTGGAGGAATTTGTTGCTGCCGACGGTCGCCTAGTGGAGGGAAGGCCTCAAGCGGAGCTCGAGAAGGACCACCTCCTCCAGCTCCAGCTCCACGCCCGCCGCCGCCCTCTCTTCCTCCTTGCCCGCGACCGTCGGGATTTCTCCCGCCTCTACCTCTACCTCTTCCCTGCCGAAATTCCTCTTCTTGACCACGCCATTCCTGCGATGGCGCCCGTCCATCGCCTCCTCCTCGTCCGCCGCCTCGCCCGCCTTCCCGCCGCGGTGGCATTGCTCCTCCTGTCACAGCAAAACCCCCGTTAGACCCTACAGCTCCAGCGGCATCGCCACGATTCTCCCACCGCCGCCAAAGAATCGATCGCCTCGATCAAACCCGCAAGAACCCAAACCTCTTTTAAGGTAGAAAAAAGATGGTACATTTCGAATTCCAAGGTGTCAAAATCCCAAACGTCGGTTCCTTGCTGATGTGGCGAAATCAGAAGCGTCCGCCGTGGCCCGCCAGATTTAAATACGAATCGTGATAAAGCTCGCGCTTTGGTCGGAAAGCGCGAGATCGAATAAAGTGGCTCCGGACTAGCACTAACTAAGGAAGCTTGATTCTTAAGACAGAAGATCTGGAACGTCCATTGGCGTGCTCATCGCAGCCCTCGCATTTAAATGTTTGAAAAGTTACAAGAAATCGCGCGAAGCGATATCATCGATCTATTGGAAATGGCGGCAGCATTAAATCGATTCCACTGCGATTCGATCTCTTCGGATCCGATTCTTCCCTTTCTCTGCCACTCGATTCAATCATTTCTTCTCGCTGGCTAGAGCAGCCGCCACAGTCGCGGACGCGTCCTCGAGAGTTCGCTTCTTCTCCACTTTGTCGAATGCCTGTATGCTGTCGCCATCTTGCCACTCGTTGAAGCCATCCACACCAACACCACATTCCAAACCAGCATCAACCTGGAAATCGAAGAAGAACCATGATCGAATTGGAAGTAGCGAGCAAAGAGAAACTTCGATACCTCTTTGGCGACGTCTTTTACTCGTCGAAGCGAGCTCAGACTCCCAGTGTGCACGGTTTTCTTCCCTCGCTTGACGTGAACACCGCAGCCTTTGGTCAGCTTTCCTTCCGTCACCATGCATCCCGCCACTCGTCCACTTCCACTCGTGAAAACCGCTCGAACCTCCGCTTTTCCAATCGGAACTTCCTCCTGCGATATACAAGTGCGAGTGATGGGAAAATCCACGAGAGAGGAAATGGAAAGAACCATGTACCTGGATGGGCTTCAAGAGACCCTCCATTGCTTGCCTCATGTCATCTACCATTTCGTATATGACTTTGTACAAACGAATCTCAACGCCTTCGCTGTCAGCCTTGTCCCTCACCGTCGGCTGCGTGCGTACGTTGAAACCAATCACGATTGCTCCGCTCGCAATCGCCAAATCTATGTCACTGGCTGTTATATCGCCTGTGCCTTGCATCAAAAACCGAAGCTGGACAGTGTCCTGCGGCAAAACTTGGAGCGCCTCCCTGATGGCCTCCACAGTTCCCTGAGATCAAACAACACAAGCGTATGAAACGAGTGAACGAGCAAGGAAAACAATGCCGGTACCTGAACGTCAACTTTGAGAACAATGTTTAGCTGGTGTGACTCAACACCGGAGTCCTTTCCAGACGCTACAGCACTCGCAAGGTTCGCAAGCGTCACCTTTCCTTCGCTAGCTTGAGAGGCTAGACGAGAATCACGCATGCGTTCTGCGTACTCGGCAGCAGCGTCTCTAGCATCATCAATCGTGTCGCGGATTTCAAATTCGTATCCAGCAACTGGTACACTGCTCAGTCCAATCACCTGAGATAATCGCAGTCAGATGTCGATGCTAAAAGAACTTAAGCAAGAATCGAAGAAAACCTGCACTGCGGTTGATGGACCAGCCTCATTGACCGACTTCCCTTTTTCGTCAAACAATGCTCGCACCTGAAAACAATAACGTTGCTTCGGTAGCTATGCTTGATTTGAAGCTTACCTTTCCATAGCTTTCACCACACAGAACCACGTCTCCTTTGCTTAGTGTACCATTTTGCACGAGTAACGTAGCAACTGGTCCCCTTGCCTTGTCTAAGCTTGCTTCAATGATTGTGCCACTGGCCTCACGGTGAGGATTGGATCTTAAGTCTTGCAACTAGCGGGAAAGCAAGAAAACATGAGCTCCAAGCTACAAGTTTTACTGTACAGTACCTCGGCAACAAGCATGACCGTCTCCAGTAACGAATCAATGTTCTCTCCTGTAAGAGCACTAACCGAAACCATCTGCTCTTCTCCACCCCACTCTGGTGGAACTACACCCGCTTTTGCAAGCTCTTCCTTGACACGATCAACGTTTGCTCCCGGCTTGTCAATCTACAACGAAAGTAAGAGTCACAACGGATGATCTCATATACAAAGAATACCTTGTTGATAGCTACGACAATTGGAACCCTGGCAGCTTTGGCGTGAGCGATTGCTTCCAAAGTCTGTGGACGGGTTCCATCATCTGCTGCTACCACGATAATTGCAATGTCTGTGATTCGTGCACCACGAGCTCGCATAGCACTGAAAGCCTGTTGACGAGAACAAGAAAGCCTTTAGCATTTCCAAAGAAGACATAAAACACAATATGTACCTGATGCCCCGGTGTGTCAAGGAAAACACACGTTTGCTCCTCCCCATCGACTGTCACAGGCACTTGATATGCACCAATTGCTTGTGTGATTCCTCCAGCTTCTCCGGCAGCCACCTGAATCATGAATGCAGAGAACTTCCTACATGAGAAACAAAAAAGAAACGAAAAGAAAGAAAAAGAAATACCTTTGTCTTCCTGATGTAATCCAGCAACGAAGTCTGTAGCACAAAATAAAATCAGAGTGTCAAAAACAAAAAAGAAAGATCGAAACCAAAGTTCTCGTAATTACCTTTCCATGATCAACATGTCCCATGACTGTTACCACTGGTGGACGTCTCTCCAGTGACTCCAAGTCTTCTTCGTCCAGGAACTCTTTCTGCTTCTTGGCCATGTCCTCGACTTTGACAAAGCCAGCTTCGATAACTTCCACTTCGTATTCATTGCACACAATTTTCACAGATTCTTCATCCAGCATCTGGTTGATCGTCACTGCTATTCCCTTCATGAACAAGACCTTGACAACGGCCGCTTCGTTGATAGCCAGCTTACTCGCCAAGTCTCCCACGGTCATTCCCTGCTTCCCCACCTCCAAAATCTCCACTTTCACCGGAGCCGAGGCCTTTGCAGCCTCTGCTCGCTCGGCTTTCCTTCTAGCTTTCGAGTATTTCCTGCCTTTACGTGCCGGACTCACACCTGAAATGCTGATACCAATCTCTTCCGCGTCGTCCATGGCATTCTCGTCACGAGCAACGGTTCTGCGCTTAGCTCCATCCATCACTTCCGATCTTTTCCGCTTGTCATCCCTGGCCTTGTTCGCTAAACCCGGCTTCGATGATGGCGGACCTCCAGCTCCAGTGTCTTTGTCTTTGAGACCTGTCTGCTTCTTCGTTGCCTCGTCACTCTTTGTCGAAGAAGAGCGACCCGAAGGAGGGGGAGGTGTAGCGCTCGGTTCCACCACCTTCCTGAAAGTATCCACTAATCTCGGTCCCTTGGGCGCCACCGGCGGTGCCGCTGGCTTTGGAGCAATCATCGGCTTCGTTGACATGAGAGGCTCTTTTCTCAAAACGGGCGGAGGTCGCATCAAAGGTGGCGAGCTGAGAATCGGAGTTCTTGGTGGTGCTGAAAGTCCAGGAGCTCTAGCCGGAGCTGGAGTTTGTGATGACGGAGAAACTCCTGGAGATGGAACCGGAGTCGGAGCCGGAGCCGGAGCCGGAGCTTGTGACGACGGAGAAACTCCTGGAGATGGAGCCGGAGTTGGAGTTTGTGGCGACGAAGAAACTCCTGGAGATGGAGCAGGAGCTGGAGTTTGGGACGACGAAGAAACTCTTGGAAATGGAGCCGCAGGAGGAGCTTGCTTCGACGCTGATACATCTGTCTGTGAAGGAGCCTTTGGTAAGTCTTGGCTTACCTTCACAGCGGTCGAGCTCTCTGGGGGCTTTGGAAAATTCGTTTGTGGGGGAGTCTTTGGAGCAACGGGCTTGCTCTTCACAGCGCTGCTGTTAGCACCATTTACCGGCGTCACGGGATCTCCTTTCTTCCACCTCGTCTGGAATCCACCTTGTTGTTGGAACGACGAAGAAGCACCCATCGTTCCTGGCTGCTGGAAGGATTGCTGCCTTCCCATCACCGGCCTAGAACTTGGCGAATTCGTGGGAGGAGAATTCGCCAGCCTCTCCGCGCTCTGTAACACTTTGTCCAAGTTTTGCATAGCTCCACCGCCATGGCCCTGCTGCGATGGCGCGGCAGAAGGAGCATTCTCCCTGGGCCGATAAACTTGCGCAAAGCTACCACTACTTCCACTTCCTGGCCTTCTCATCTGGTTGCTCGCAGCGCCTCCATTCGCAGGAGGAGGAGGTGGAGGAGGCATCATCACTGGCTTGGGCCGCGAGAGTGGGATCATCGGCTTTGGCGATGGCTTGAGCAGCGGCATACTCTCACCATCGCTCGCAGCTCCCGCGCTGGGCTTGGCCGATTTGCCACCGCCATCGTCGTCGGCGGCACTAGCGCCATCGGCATCCAACACCCGGACGCGCTCCTCGGCAAATGCCATGCATTTGGAATGCCTCCTGGAGCCGCCGCCTTGCCGGAGCCGCGATCTGAGCTGCGCACCGGGGCTGGAGAGCCCGAAAATCGCCGAGGTGGATGCAGCCGCGCAGTCGGCATCGCCCCTGGGCCATCTCCAGCAAGAATTGTGAGGGCAGACGACGAGCTGCCCTCCCAGGGCACCCAATGCGGCGCTCATTCTTCCCGCAAATTCATCACAGCTGGAGGAGAGCCTCGCACCTTTGCCGCGTAGGGGTCGCCCCGGAGCATCCGGAAGAACCCTAAAACCCGGAGAGAGGATGTCTGTCGCGACGACGCCATAGCGCAATGTGGATACGCATACGTGGCACTAATGGAAGCCACAAACCCTATATACCCGATTCGAATATGGTCAGCGGTCACAATAGAATATTCTCTAGAATGGAATTTGGTCAACGGTCACAATAAAATATTCGCTAGATTCGACTAGGGCTTTGATGCTCCAGAAATCGCGATCTAGAAATGGGCAGGAGCGTCCGAGAGGATACGATCCACTGCGGCGCAGTGGAATCGGACAGCTATATCGCGAATGCGGTGCTGGGGATGTACGCCAAGTGCGGGAGCATGGGCGAGGCATCCAGGTGCGCCGGCGCGATCTGGTGTCGTGGAATTCTCTCATCGCGGGATTGCCGAGAATGGGCAATCGTCTCTCGCGTTGGATCTCTTCCAGCGGTGCGTCTGGCTTTCTTCCAGATCGCTTCACTTCCTCGCGGCATTGAAGGCGTGCTGTGCCTTGGGCTACTCCAAGTGTGGAAGCATGGACGATGCTCGTGGATGCCTTGCCGCGACGCGATCTAATCTCGTGGACGTCTCTCATGTCTGGATACGTCCACAACGGTGAGCCCGAGCTCGCCATAGCTCTCTTCGAGGACATGAAACATAGAGGCTTTGCTCCAGACGCTCCAGCTCTCGCAATCTCCCTGAAAGCTTGCGGCAGCTTGGCCTTGCTCAAGGCCGGGAAGAAACTCCATGGCGAGATTTGCCGGAGAGGTGGAATCCAATCATCCTTGGCTCTGCTCGTAGCTCTTGTGGATTTCTACGGTCGATGCGGGAGCATGGGCGATGCCGAGCTCGTACTCTTGCAAGACTCCATCGCCAGTAGAGACATCGCCGTGTAGAACTCTCTCATGGCTGGATACAGTCGCCATGGAAATGGTTTCTAGAACTTTTCACCGATTGCAAGACGAGGGCCACAAGCCCGATGCTGCGACGTTTGTGGGAATTCTCGCGGCTTGCAGCGGTGCCGGGCTGGTCGAAAGTGCGAAGACGTGTTTCCATGCCATGAAAATCTCGCTCGCCATCGTTGCGGTCCTGCATGATCTCATGAGCTCCAAGTATTCTCTGCAATCCATTCCTAAAACCTCCGATCAAACAATTCCATTTCATCAGACCGGTTGAGCGTGCTGAGCTCAACCGTTAAATTTGAGCATTTCAAATATAATGTCTTATAATCGATTTGAGCAGTTGCCACTCATGGGCATATGCAATTCAAGCAACTGCCATCTCGAAGAACTGAAGCATAGTTATGTAAATTCCAAATGAAGACATTCATTTGAAATAAACTGCTGCTTAAAACAATAGCAAAATAAATTTATATAGTTGATTAAAATAAGGCGAATCAACCATCAGGCAGCTCTATAAATTAAACGTTAGCAGCGCGTTTCCTATAAAAAGGGCCTGTTTTAGGGCAACGATAAAATCTCTAAACCTGATAGCTTAGGGTTCAACACAGCACCGTCGATTTCCCTCTTGGATTCTAGTCGATCTCGGTTTCTTGATCTTGCTCCTTGCCCGATTCCTTAGTTGCTTAAGGTACAGAGAGGTTTTCTTTGGTCATCTTTGGGTTGGCAACAAGTGCAAGCCCCAAGGCATCCAAGTAGGTTCTGCAAACTGCGCAGAAACTATTCAAGCCAGGATAGCCTTCTCTCATCGATCGTCAGGCAGAAATGAACCTCTGGAGAACAGCCCGTTGTGGTGGACTCACACTAGACAATGCAGATGTGGATGTGGGCACACAAGAAGATGATGTTGGGGATGTTGAGGATCTGGATGATGAAGTTCCACAGACTAATGATCCGGAAGGCAACACAATAGTAGCTGCTGTTATTAACCGTGACCGTCCTGAGTGGTTAATTTCTGATCTTTATCCAGAGAGACTTATAATCAGCAAAGATTCTCACTATCCAAGCAAATTCTCTCGTTTTTATGCTTGTGATTGGCAAACCGGGCACATGTACGCTTTTTCTCCTGCTCAAGGAGAGCTCCCAAAACATATCCCTTTAAGTCCTGATTGCAGTCCCACTACAAGGATGAAGCAACAAGTATACGTTGGGATTGAAAACATGAAAAGTACACACAGAGTTCTTTCAATCTTTCAAAATCACACTGGTGAGTGGTTTAATTTTTTATGTTTCTCTATTCTAAATTTGAGGTTTAGGGGACGAGGAAACCACGAACGGCACTGCTTTTGCAGTTTCACAGCATATGCTTCTAACAGCAGGCCATATGCTTTCTTTGGTCACTTTTAAAGATGGGAAAACCATGAAGTGGCAATTGAAGGAGGTGCTAGTTTATGCAGGTAAGTACACCACCACCAGATTGGATACCATAACTTAACTGAGGTTTCTGAACAGGGGAATTTGTGCCCATTCAAAAAGTTCGTGAATTTGGTTTTCGCTGCACAGTTCAAGGAAATGCCACCTCTGTTTACAGTACCAGGAAGGAGTGCCCTGAACTTGGATCTGACATAGCGCTTCTTAAAGTAAGGGGTGCTTCTTTTGATTTCAATTTACTAAAACATTTGTTTTGTAGGTGGAGGGAACGACTCTACCATGCTTTCTTTTACCTTCTTCGCCACAAAAGGACTTGCCTCTCACGGTATTTGGGTACCCTGATGCTGTTGGCTACTTAAGACGAGCAACGCGAGAGTTAAAACAGAGTGCTAATCCAGAAAATGGTGGGCTTTGGAGTGTCTATTGGCGAGTCCTGTGGGACAATATTCAGGAGTGGACGTCACAATACGAGGTACTTAAATCTCATTAATGAAATTTGGCTTTTAACCTGGATTTTATTGGATTTATAGGGTGATCTAAAGCGTGCTGAAGAAACAGCTAAGAAATGGCTTCTTGAACAATTTCAAACCGTTCTGCGAGGAATACCGGATGGGGCTCAATGTGTTTCTGCTGGATTTGCTGAAGCACTTACATCATGCTTTGTCGGTCATACTTGTCCCACCGTACCAGGTTGGTAGTTTTAGCTACATTACTTTTCTGAAATCTCAAATTTATGCTGTTTACAAACAGGTGTTTCAGGGGGTGCCATTTCACCCATGGAAAGTCCAGGTTATTTCGTAGCAGCTCATGCTGGGGCCTTAGACATCAACCAAAACTGTGGAACGTCCACAGATAATCCAGCCTTCGTGGATCAGTATCTAAAATTTGTGTTGCAAGATCTTCCGACTCCAGAGTGGGCATTGTACACAAGGGCAGATTTTAGCATAAGGCCATTTCTCGCTTGGTTACACACTCATAAGGCGATGCTCCCTCCATCTTCTCCCTGGGTGAAGCATCTGCAGCAGCAGCTGATGGTTGTCCCTGCTAACGAGCAGCAGGTCGAGCGACCATCAAAAAGAAGAAAGTTAGAAGACACTCTGTTCAATAGATAGGAGGTCTCTCTCTTATGGAAGTAATGTAAGTTTGCGCCTAAATAGAGCGCCAGAGGAGTTGCACAGGTGTGCTTGCCTTGTAATATTTCAGTGAGAATGAGAGGTTTATTTGATACTCATTTGGGAATCATCTTTTTTCTGATTTCTTTTGATGGAAAAGTTTATTTTTTCTCAATTTCATATAGTAAGAAAAAGAATAATCAAGTATCAATGCTACTTCTTTGCTCCAGTTTGGTAATTTTTATTTTATTTTATTTATTTATCATTGATAGAATAATTATCTCTTATATAATTTTCACATTTTATATTTGTAGATATTTTGATTCTTTGTTCATGACACACTTTCACACAATCAATGAATTTTAGAGCATTTTATTAAAATATATGTGTGAATACCAATCCCTTAATTTATACTTTCTTTTTTATAGTTCAATTGTTTAGCAATTTAACTTGGGTTTTAACAACTCTTTACAATCATTATTTTTCTAACATTGTTATAATCGCATTGTTATAATTTTTTGATTAATCTACACTACTTGGTTACGGATTTCAAATATACACTGCTTGGCAAATAATATCAAATGGTTTTTAGAGTTAACAATGCATGAACATTAAATAACCAATTTGAAACACTTAATAAACTTTATAAATTTACTTTCAACACATTTATTTTTAACAAAAGTTTAGGTGAGCAAAACATCATTATTTATATTTCAACATTATGAACTCTAAGGACTGTTTCAATAAATTATTCTAGCACCGACCTTGGGTGAGTGAGGAAAATATCCCATTTACTACATGTTTACTTTGTGTCATCTTTTACCAGCTAATAAAATTTCAAACCTTTTTCAAGTATGTAAAAAATGCCAACACCAGGTCCAGACTCTTTTTTGTAGAATTCAAATAAAGAATATCAAAAAAGGGAAACTGAATACCCTAAAACTAATTTCACAATTTAAATTAGCTGCTTCGTTTAGGGCTCCTGGGAGGGATTTTTGCGAGGCTCCGACTTCTCCCAAGAAAGAAGATGTCCTTCGCCAAGACCGTGACGAGCTCGGACATGGCTGCCATGGTACTGCCTTCCTCTTCCTCTTCGCACCCCACATTGTATGAAATCTCTGTTTTGTTTGCTGTTTCCAGGCGATCCCCGGGCCAGTCTATGAGAAGCACCGCAACGAAGCTTTCCGCGGCACCGTGGCTCTGGCGCATGGCGGCCGGGACTGGCAAGTCGACGCAAGCTCCGGATCCTTCACCACGGGCTGGAAGGAGTTTTGGCTCGGGAATGCGCTCAACGAGGGCGACTGCCTTGTCTTCCGTCATCAATCGGCCGGGCGCTTCGCCCTGGAGATCTTCGGCAGCGATGGATCGCCCAAGGAAGGAGGCGTGGGAGCTCCCGCCAATAAGAGCGTTTCCTCTTCCTCGGCGCTTAAGCGATCCAGGGACGATTTGCCAGCGGCGATGGAAGTGGTCGTCAAGGATTGCTTGGTGCATCTGGAGGACGGCTCCAGCTTGAAGTTCGTCGTCACCAAGATCCCGCCAGAGGATCCAGCAGGGGAGCCTTTCACTCCTCTAGTCTCTGCCGCCAAAGCTAGCGATGCTCTTCCGCGATCTTCCAGGATGACGAGGTCCTCAGCTCCAGTAGCGAAAGCACCATCTCCAGATGCCAAAGATGACTCGCCTGCCCCAAAGAAGGCCAAGATCGATTCTCCAAAGAGGACGAGGAAGACGCCTCCTCCCTCGAGGAAGCAAGAGGAAGTCTCCAAGATGGATTCATCCAGCGAGAAGAACAAGGAGCCCACCGCCAAGAGCAGTGGAAAGAAGAAGAAGAAGAATCAGGATGTTCCTTGTGACTCTCCGGCGCTCCTTCGAGCCGAGGCGTTCAAGGCTACCATTCCAAGCACCAATCCAAGCACCGCCATCGTCATGAAGAAGAGTTGCTTACATCCATGTTATTACTTGGTAAGAGATCTTTGCCTTGTTCTTACCATTTTGTATGTGATCCTGATCTCTCCTCTCTCTCTCTCTCTCTCTCTCTCTCTTCTCACAGACCATTCCAAAGGATTTTGCGGAGAAGCTCCCGCACGAGAACAAGATGCTGACTGTGGAGAGCAACGCGGTGAAAGAGCCGTGGGATGTCAAGTGGCTCGCGGCAAACCGAGCTTTCAGTGGCGGCTGGAACAAAGTTGCACAGTTCCACAACCTGGAGCTCGACGATGCGTGCGTCCTGGAGGTGCTCAACAAAAGTGGGGTGAGGATCAGCGTTTTCAAGGCGGATGGAAGCTCAAGCGTGGCGGCGAATCAATCGGCTCCAGCGATTGCCAATGGAGAGATTGGTGAAGTAGCAGAGGCAGGATTTGCGACTGTCGATGAAGGCGATGCCATCGCTGCAATGGAGAAGCTTTGCGGGGATGGCGGTGTGAAGGCGAAAGATGGTGGCGGTGAAAACGGAGATGGTGGTGACAACGAGAATGCAGGACAGGTGATTTAGATTTAGAGAAATTGAGTTTTGTGACCAGCTTGACTGCCAACTTTGATTATTGAAACACTGCACACAATCTTTTAGATCATGAAATAAAAGAGTGGCTCACCGTCATCCGAGTACTTCCTGGATCCTGGCAATGAGCTCTTCTTTCTTCCCGCTAAGTTTGGCCTTTCTAGATCGAAGGAAGTTCTTCATCTCAGCCACGCTCAGGTCCTTGAGTTTTCCCTCAGCGTTTTTCTTCGTCACCTGTAAAGAAATCGAATCGTAAACAAGCTCAACGAAAACCAATCAGATTGTGTACCAGAGCGTCGTTGGTTTCGTTCTCAGGTTTCTTCTTCTTCTCGACGGCTGCGGCATGAACTTTCTTGGTGTTCTTCTCAAAAACAAAACCAAGTAAGAGCACAATTCAGAAAGAAAGAACGAAAAGACGCACTCACCTCTGCAGGCTTGATTCTTGAGAAAGTCGCCTCAGTTGTTCTTTTCTTCGTTGCCGCTTGCTGAGAATCTGTTTGGCTGTCTTGAACATTCGCAGGAGCCTTAAAGTCGAGAGGCCTGTTTTTCATGCTTGATTCTTTCTTCGTCTCCTGTCGGCAGAGGTTGCATTGAGCGACTAACGAAATAAAATAAGAAACTCACTGTCTGAGCCTTGTTCACTGTTGAATGACCTGAAACAACACTGGTCATCAACCAGGTTAGCCAAGTGAGTACCTCTTTTCAAGTTTGGAACTAGAAGCGTCCTCGTCACTGGCCTAGCAGCTTCAATTTGCTCGAGAACGTTAGCACAGCAGCAAGGCAAGGTGGAACATACTTTCACATGATGCCTGTGAAACTTTAGCTGCTGGCTTTCCTACTTCAGTGGTTACTCTAGCACGGAGGGACTCTGTAATAGAAAGGCAGATTATTCACCGGTAAAGTAAAGGAGGAGCTTACTGAGTAAATTATCCGGTTGCAAGGCAGAAATGGATGCAGTCTTCATGCCATTCAAGGAAATCCGTGGCGTATCTGGCAAACTCGCGGCTCTTGTCCATGGCAGCGAGGAGTTACTGTCGATTTCAAGCTCCTAGTAAACAGCTAAGAAACTCGAGCATAAATATTGCAGACATACCTTAAAATCGATTCTCCCAGAACAAAAGAAATCCCACGCTGACAACAAGCACACTCTGTGAGAATCTCACAATGACAAACAGCCACAGAGTCTCACCTGCAGCATCACTAAAAAAGTGCTGCAAAACACGTAGCATTAGAGAGCATCTGAGCGATGGCACTACAGGAAAGAAACCAGATTTTTTCATCACCAGGGACGATGGAAACCTGCACGTTGAGTACGAGCTATCAGAGTGTACATGTTATGCCTGTCAATTACCATGAAAACTCGCCTGAGTCCAGTGAGAAGCATATTTTGACATAGTAGCAGTCTCCTGTAAATTGAAGTCCATTCTGAAGAAGCTTTTGCTATGTTGATACAGGCATATATTTGTCCAAGTAGTAAAAAGGACCTGCTTCTTCCACAATTGCTTGCGGAGCTCCATGTCGTCGTCATCGTTTAGACCACGCATTGTTTTGCAAAGTCCTGGAGGCACAAGAGTCTTAGCCTTCAAAAGAGCGCATATTCACTCACCCACAGCATAGCCGTTCCTCATATATGGAAGAACGCAGCACTCAAACTCGTTGATAGTTCTCTCGTCATCTTGCAGACAATACTCTTCTATCGAAACAAACTCTTCTTGCTCGAATCGCTTCTTATAGGCCTCTGGCATGCCTTCCACTATCTGTGTTAACGCGCCACTAAAAGATTAGAACATCCAATGAAGTTGAGAGAAGCATGATTGCATGCATACCTTAGCGAAATGAATACTCGTCACGTCTGGTGACAGGAGCAAAACTATATGGCCATTAGATTCGAGATGTACATCCTGGTCCAGGAGAAAGAAAAACTTAGCAGTGCCAATTCGTAAAGGATATCTTACCACAGACACAGTTTCCAGTGGCAGTCCTTCCTGAATAGTACCAAATACAAGAGAGCCTCCTCGCAAAAACGTCCATCCTTTTCTAACCAATGAAGAGACCAGTGAGTGACGAACAGCCTCTTGCAGAAGTAAGCCACTAGAGACTTCTTCGCCATCAAGCTCGAGCATCATCTGCGAGAGTTTCACAAGATATAAGTTCTACAAATCCCAGATTGAGCAACACAGCAATCTCAACAGGTATAGATTCTTAAATCCATGTACCTGTTGGTGCTCTAGCTTCACGCGTTCACGCCCGAGACGAGACGCAAATTTCTTATGCTTACTGCCCTGGGAAAGAGCAAGAAATCGATCGATGTCACTGATATATTCATGGATTTCTTACCTCGAAAACAACCGTGATGTTCTGGTCATCGAGAGAGAATGCCGCGCATTCATTCTCTCCGAGCAGCTGAGAAATCTCCACACAGATCGCGGCAGCCAGAGAAGCGCTCGGACTCTTGAGCGCCATGGAGATCTTCGTGAAGCCGCTGTCAAGAAGAAGCTGCGATCGG